CAGGCGGCCGAGCCCCGCGCGGGGGCGGCGGGAGGTGCGAGGTGGTGCGCTCAGGATCTGGGCTGCGCGTGGGGCCCCAGCCGGGCCCGTCTCATGGTCGCGGCCTCCCCGCGCACGGCAGCTCCGAGCGCCTCAAGCCTCCATCATGGCTGCTGCGCCGCTGAGGGACCAGCCGTAGAACCGCCCCGTACCGCTGGCACCGCCCCCGCGCCCTCCGCCGTAAAAGTATTCCCGCCACATCATCGCCCCGCGGCGTCCACCGCCACGTTGCGCCGCCCCCCCGGCCTCGTAGCTCGCTGCGGACCCCTGTCCCGGGGGTTGGGGCGGTGCGGAGCGACAATGGAAATTTCTCCTGAAGGGGGTGTTGGGAGGCACGGGAGCAGGCCAGCGGAGGGATACGCTCGCTGCCAGGTCGGAACTACTTTCTCGGGTCACGTGCCCTCCTGCCCGCTGCGCGCCCCCTCCCCCGGCAGCGTAGGGGGACGGGGCCTGGCGTCGGGCAGTAGGAGGTGGCTCGCACCTCGCGCAGGGGGCAGCTCGTGAAGGAGGCAGCTGGAGTCCCCGGCCCGCTAGTTCTGGGGCTGAGGAGGCTACTTGGGGCAACTTCTTGGGGAAGCTTTTCGGGGTGGGGGTGCCGCCGGCCGGCCCCGGTCCCCACAGGCAGCAGCACACACAGCCGCTCCCCGTGGCTTCCCCCAGTGAAACGCGGCCGCCTAGCCCTACGCGCCTCGGGGCGGCTTTTCGGGCTCCAGAAGGAGGCTTGGATGTGGCAGAGGCTGCAGCTGGGCTGTGGGACAGCAAGGGCCCACCCTTGCCTCATCTGCAGCCGGGAGGGTGGTGAACTCCTGTCCCACCTCCCGCAGGTCACAGCCGACGAGCCAGGCTGCCTCTGGGCCCCGCTCCACCTCGGTGAAAATGGGGAATGAAATTTGTGAAAGCTGCTGCCAAATGGGATTGCGGTCCTCCCGCGGGCGAGCCGCTTGCAACGCGGGTTGTGGTGCCACCTGTTGCCTGTGATCAAGAAACCCCTTCGTTCAGAGATTAGCTGCAGTCACTGAAAAAAAATTCAGGGTTACCACGGTACTCTGTTCCTGCACCTCTGGTCACGCAAGGCCTACATCCAATGCTAACAGCGCCAGCCCAAAGCCTACGATATTAAAGGGCCTGATATTTCAAGCACTGGGAAGAATACAAGGACAAGCCTCCATAAGCAGGAAGGCAGCATAACTGTGATGGGGGTGCCTCCCTATGCAGTAACGTGCAAAGTGAAGTGTAACTTCCCAAATGCATGATAATCCCTAAATAGGAGAGGGAAGGCACACAAATCTAATGGAAGGAATGGGCAGCCAACATGACAGTGAAAGATTTGAAATAGAGTTTTTATTCTTCTTTCAGGTTAGTGGGACAATGCGAGATTTTTCTCAGTCGTAAATGTCTGCGGATGTCACCGACCGGTAACAAGGGAAAACTATACAGGAATGAACAAATGTAGCAAATGAGCATGAGATTAAGTCATCAGAATAATCTATCTGCCCTGATGGAGAGAGAGTGTCTGTTTTTCTTTAATGTTTTGACAGCATTTGTATCAACTGTCATTCCAATAAAATAATCTGGATTTTCTGAAGTCACATCTACTGTGTGGATAGAGCCTGCTCCCCCTACTCAGCACCTACTGTCCCACGCTGCATGGTCCCAAGGGAGTCCCCCACAAATAAAAGCAAATGAATCATGGAGCAGTACTGTAGAAAGTTTTGTAACCCAATAGCCAAAACAGAAAGTAGGACTAAAGTCTTACTGCTAGCCTAAGATAAGCATAGCTACAGTACAGCTATATCTGTCTCCCACAATGCAGTTCTACTTTTGTGACTGCTATTTACCCAGCTACCTATTTCTCTCTCTCTCCACTCCCTACTCAACACACTTCTGGTTCTTCTCACATTCTGGTATCATTCCCACCACACTCCTAAATAAGAAGCCTTTGAAAAGAAACCTGCTTTGCAGGTCATGCATTGAGTTCTCAGTTCTGCTAGATGCATCAATATTGAACATGGAAGGAGGCAGGATGGAATTACCTATCCTGATAAATGTCTCTATCTTCTGCTTTTCCTCTGAAACCAAATGTGCTTCACTTGTTTTGGAAAACTGCTTCCCTGCTTTTTTTGAAAAATACCATATCAAAATTTCTTCTTACTTCTGAAGCTTCCAGCATAAGGTGAGATACAATTCACCAAGCTCAGAGTTGTGAAGCAGAGATTTTCTCATCATCTTACAAATATCAAGACATGACTTTTGAGTAGAAAAGCCCACTGATTTCAGTTATCAGGTGTTCTTTGTTTTTTGAGCGTAGTGCTGAAATATTAGTTTGTGTTAAAATTTCCTAACTCTGAAACAAAGTACACTTTTCAGGATATTCTATGGATATGCTTGAAAACAGCACCCCCTTAAACATTGTGCTTACTTCTTAAAAGATGTCATTTCATAGGTTTCTCATGCATGGAAAATAATCAGCTTAAGACATACTCCCCCTCTTGAAAGAGCCCTTTAAAAAAAACAAACAAACCAACAAATATCTCCTGAAATCTATGACACAAACACAAAGAGTCCATGAGGAATCCACTGAACCAGAAAAACAAAACCAGATGAAGACCTTCCTGAAAGGATGAAACCAATGGGAAAGGAAGACCCAGGTCTGGGGCATTACCACATATGAAAAATAGGTAACCTAATCCTTTAGGATACAGCTTTGATTTCTTTCTTTGTCTTCTTGAGAAACAACACTGCATGCATTCATGTTTACAATATTGGAGTGTAACCAGAAGATTTGATTTTAGATACCGATCCATATTTTTTGTTAATATATATTTGTACAAAAGCTAATCTTTAGCTTATAGCATAAAAGTCAACAAACTGCCCAGTTTTTTATTTTGCATGATATAAGATGGAAATATCAGTCTTAGCTTGGAACTGGCATCTGTTGGCTTACGAAACAATACTAACCTTTCCCTTTATTTGCCCTGAAATATTTTTCATCTGCGGATTTTTTTTAAAGTTAGTGCCAAAGTAGTCAAATAATTATGTTGATTATTTTTGAAGTGTGCTTCCTAGTGTTTATTTTTAATTGCATAAAACACTTAATTTTGTTCAGCAGAAGGGAATACAGGACCAGGGAAACATATTTTTCTGAAACAAGGCTAATTCAAATACTCCTCTAAGAAAGAATAAACTAGTAATGAAACACTCAGTATCACAGATAATTTTTTTAAATGTGTGTAGACTTAATGATTGGTGTGTGAGCTTTTTAAAAAAGGAATAGGAAAAATATGGTTAAGACGACTATAGCTTTTTTAACATTGAAGTTTGAAGGAGCTGTGAAAAAATAATGGCCTTATGTAAATTGATATACATATTTTAGATTACATTTCTGGTAAAATATATTTTTGTTCTGTAAAAATATATAAAAATTGTACAGAAAATATGAAGTGATAATGTAATAGCTCTGAATGAACTACAGCTATATTGAAATAGCTACTTACAGGGGTTTTTTTTAGGTAGGAAGTATTCACCTTGTAGATGCAACCAAATTAAACTGAAAGGTACAGTACCTACTTTGGTTCTCCCATTTTTTTAAGAACTTGTACACATTTTAGTGCATGGATTTGGTGGTAGAATCCATGAGTCATCTTAATCTGATTTATTAAACTGGGTAGCTCATGTACATCAATAAATCCAAATCCTATTATGGTCAGCAGAATGAATTCCAAGACAAATCCTGTGTCAAATTCTTGAGCTAAATAATAAGGCTAAAGCTGGGCAGACACACTGGAGAAGGTAGGGAGAACGACAGACACTCTTATGAATCATGGAGAAGCAGTACAAAAAGCTTTTGTAACCCAATAGCCAAAGGAGTATCTGCATGTCCTAAGGTGGGCTCA